AGAGACAGAGCATGAACGGGGGAGGGGCAGAGAGAGAGGGAGACACAGAATCGGAAGCAGGCTCCAGGCTCTGAGCCATCAGCCCAGAGCCTGACGCGGGGCTCGAACTCACAGACCGCGAGATCGTGACCTGGCTGAAGTCGGACGCTTAACCGACTGCGCCACCCAGGCGGCCCCCAAGGAATCTGTATTTTAACCGAGGGCCCTCCTCACAACCAGGTGATTGTAGTGCAGCGGGGTCCTTTGCGGGGGCCCCCAGACCCGATCCCCCAGAAGGGCCCTTGCCACCTGGCCCCCCAGGAGTTTTTTCTTGGAGCCCCTTGTCCCACCTGTCCGGGGATCGCCTCCTCCGACCCGCTCTCCTCTCTCCCTCCAGTGCGGCCCCCGCCGAGGCCCAGACCTTCAGCCTGAAGCACTCAGAGCGCGTGCGGGTAGAGGTGGTGCGTGACGGGCAGGCCGAGGAGGTGGCCGCCAACGGCAAACAGCGCTGGCTTCTGTCGCCCAGCACCACGCTGCGGGTCACTATGAGCCAGGCCAGCACCGAGGCCAGCAGCGACAAGGTACCGCGGCCGGGGAGGTGCTCCGAGGGCGGTGGGAACCAGCGGCCCAGCTAGACCGCGCCGTCCCAGCGCACAGCGAGTGGGAACCACACCCCCCCTTTTGCCCGTTGTCTAGTTGCCACAGTGAAAGGGCGAAAAGAAAGAGGTGGGCCTAATTTTCACAGTGCGTGGCCCTTAACACCATAGAGGACAGTCTTACGAGTTTGACGTGATACCAGCATAAAAGAAAGACTAAGGAGCTGGCTCACGTTCTTTGTCGTACCAAGTCCGTATCGCACGGCGCGTGTCAGATCAGATTTGCCACGTTTATGTGCTCGGTACCCACGTGTGGCTGGTGGCTACTGTTTTGGAAGCTCCGTGCCAGACGGCCGAGTGATGATTTCGTGGAAGGTTAAGGCTGTCGGCTGCCGAGTGATCTATTAGAATCGCCGGAAGGTACACCCCGCAACGTCCTCGGTCTCAGCGGGGTCTAAATGGGGCGCTGAGTGCCCCTGGGTGATTTGCCCGGAGCTGAGACCAGATGTCTCGTCGCTGGGTCCTTTGATTACGAGCTTTGCCATGTGCCCCACGGCAGTGATGGCTCTGGGCGTTACTCAAAGCAAACAACCTCAGTCCCGTGCCCTGGTTGCTTAGCAGAAGCTAGCCATACATCACGGTAGACCCAGCAGAATGCACCGGGGCACACAGGTAAGCAGTCAGCACCCCGGATGCCCTCTGAGAGGAGGGGAGGCCCCTGTCCGGTTGGATAATTGGACAGAAGCAGCCCCGCCACCCAGGAATGCTTCCTGGAGGAGACGGTTTGCATGTTTGGGGAGAACTGGCCTGACAGGCCGTGAGGTATGAGTCAGGGAAGGGGTCCCTGCAGACCTTGCTCTCTGTGATCTGTGATCTCTGCTCTTCTCTCCCTCCCGGTGCGCCCCTCCCTGCCAAGGTCACCGTCAACTACTACGAGGAGGAGGGGAGCATGCCCATTGACCAGGCTGGGCTCTTCCTCACGGCCATCGGTAAGTTGGTGGGGCTGTGGCGCGCGTGCCTTTGCTCCCCAGGGGCACCTGGCCTGTTTTCAGTGCCGCGGACCTGGCACTCGGAGCTTCCTCTGAATAATGCGGGCCCAAGAAGGGATGCACAGGTACCCAGTCCCTTCCGTACTGGGTTGGGGGGTGTCCTGCAGGAGGAGGCAGGCCCTGGCCCGCCAGCAACTCACCCTGGACCCAGCCGTGGAAACAGAGATGCCTGGGCCCTTAACTCGCCTAGTCCAAGCCCTTCATTTGGCATTTGGCACAGCAAGGCCCAGAGAGGTTAGGGTACTTGTTCAAAGTCACACAGCAACTCCACAGCAGGTTGAGTCCGGAGCTCAGGATTATTCCCCTCCCAGGGCCTTCCCATCTGCACAGCACTCCCCTGCCCGGGTGCCAGGGCACATGGGGTAGGGTCTTCTCCAGTCCTTCAGGTCGGCTTCTTCTGCAGTCGAGGTGTTCCATGTACATGTGTAAATGCTTTTTCCGGGAGGATATTTCAGGGGGTCATTCTGTCTGTCCAGCCTTAATGTAGCATTGATAGAGTTGCCACATGGCAGGGGGAGAGAACCACCAGTTACTGAGAGTCAACTCTGTGCTGAGCGCTTTAAAAACAGTAATAATGTCTTCCATTTCTTCAACACCCACTCTGTGTCCTGGCCTGTGCTGGGTGCTTTGAGGAGGAGAAGGAGAAACTCCTGAGCTTTATTGAGCACCTACAGTGTGCCAGGCTCCAATCCTAGACGTTGTACTGTCACGATTGCCATCTACTCTCCTAGCTGTCCCAAGGATCGACGGGGGGGGGTCTCAGAACTGCCCCCAGAAAACAATTCATTCCCACGTCAGGGCCGCCTCCTCCAGCCGTGTGCCGTTAGCCATCAAAATGGGCTCAACAGCAACGCTCCCCTGCTTCTCACCTTTTCCCCAGTGGGTTCTTTTGCTGGTTACCCTGACCCTCTTTCTGCACCTCATGAGGGAGAGCCCAGCCTTGGGGTGGGGTCCTCAGGACGCCCTCCGCGGGGCCTTGGGAGACAGGCACCAAGGCCTCCCCCCGTTGCAGGAGGGAGCCAGCAGGCGTATGCACGTGAGGATGTCTCAGATGACCGGCCCTGAGGAAACCTAATCCCACAGAGACAGGGACACTGGTGACAAAGCAGGAAGGGCAGCAGCCAGAGGCCTGTCCAACGGGGGTGGTCCCAGAGGGCTGACCATGCCATTAGCGAGACTTCTGCCAAAGCGAGGCACACAGAACAGATGGCAATGCCCCGTGAGGAGGCAGGACTGGACCCCCCTCTCCACTAAAAGACCCTGAAGCTTGTTTGCAGAGGGAGCAGCAGGGCCGAGACCCCAGAACATACTAACTACGCTTCCAGATAGTTTAGATTCCACGGGCCAGTAAAATTGTGGTTTACTCCAGTAATAAGCCTGACCATTAAAATTGTTGTGTAATGTTTCTTTATTTGAGAGAGAGTGACAGAGCATGAGCAGGGAAGGGTCAGAGACAGAGGGAGACACAGAATCCGAAGCGGGCTCCAGGCTCTGAGCTGTCAGCACAGGGCCCGAGGCGGGGCTCGAACTCATGAACCATGAGATCATGACCTGAGTCAAAGTCAGATGCTTAGCCGACCGAGCCACCCGGGCGCCCCCATCGAACCCTAGTTCTGTCCTGAGCCCACGCTGAGCAGAGAGAGCCCTGGCTGCGGAGTAGACAGAGATAAGTCTAAGTTCTGGCCCTGCCCCGTCACCCCTCTGAGCCTCAGGGCCCTCCTCTTCACGGCGCATGCTTGCGCTGTGCTCATGGGGACCCGATGGCATGCTGTGTGCAAAGAAGATGCTCAGTCAGGACTTTTTCTTTTCTCCATTCTGCTTGGGGGTAGCCACATTTCCCCTCTGCCTGAGCAAAGTTGGAAGATCCTTATTGCCCGTCAGTCTTCCTCCTGGGATTTGGAAGTAAACCCATGGTGCCCTCGGCCAAACCGGGTCTCGGTTCCCCGTCCCGCCAAGGACTTGCCGCGTGACCTTACCAAGGAGCCCACCCCTCTAGACCTCACTTTTTCCCAGCTGTGAAATGAAGCCTTTGGGCCCCGCGGTCCCCAGGGGCCTTCGAGACTCCAGGTGCAGCTGATTTGCAAAGCCCCCCCCCACCCCCCCAACCCCGTTGAGGGGAATCGGGGTGGGGGATGGGCTCCTCTTTGTTGCTATCCTGGCAACTGGCCCTGAGAATTTTTAGCATCGACCTAAGGATCTCAGTCCTTGAACCCCTTCCCCAGAGTCTAGGATGATCGCCCTAGTTGGCTGTGGGGGAGAAAGTCCTTCCTCCCCACCACACCCCAAGCTGCCCAGTTACGTAAGAAGGCCAGGCACCCTGCCACTGTCCATGGGGGCCGGCGGCCTCTGCCAAGATGCTCAGGCCTCTGTGTCAAGCCTCCGTGTCTTGATTCTCGGGGCAGACTACCTTGAACCCAATCCCAGTGACATTTCCCATAAATCTGCCCCACACCCCAGAGGCCACCTGACACCTTAGGGCTATTCTGGGGAGCTGAGGTAGGATTCAGAGCCTCTGGGAAATGTCGTCTGGAGCCTAGATGCCCCGAAACAGATGTCCTCTCCTCTCCTCC